TTCATCATTGCACAAATTTCGCTCAAAAACCTTAACTTACCTGCTCAATAATGTTACCCTCGTATCGTCTTCCTAAAGCTCTATCAGGGAATACGCAGACGTGATAAAACGGTCGATTCGTACAACCGAACAAAGCCAAACCAATAGAAGGACGACCGTAGTACTTTGGAATCACGAGTTTCCGCATCTTACCATACAACAATCACACATAGAATGGCAGACGCAATCCCAACAAGTAACAAAGGCGAAGTCCAAGACAGGAGTAGAAACTTGCCCGAGTGACCGCGCGCGCCGCGGCGAATTTCCTGTCCTTACTGGAGCGCAAAAACTGCAACTCCAAAAGAAGACTCAACCGTTCTGCCAGAGTTCGGATTCGGGGAGCCATTTTTCGCTTGAGAACCTTGGCTCCACTGATGACCAGCGGTGGACCTAAGGTTCCCGCAGTGAAAATGTTTCTGCTGCGACACACAAAAAAGTCGCTTTCTGTCCTAGACAACCACACCCGGAGGAGCATGTGGTGCGATATTAACCGCCGTCCTCATAAATTCCAATTTTTCCAGGGGCAGGAAATCCCAAGGTGCATGAACTATTTCGCTTCTTCTTTTATTATATAAGCACTCCGAATCCTCCTTCTGAGAGAATCGGATTACTTCAAGGGATATTAACTGTTACACCAGATCCACCTCCCTTGCTGGGTGGGAATCGGATACCTGTTACCAGCTACAACTTTGACCTCAGCGGAGAGTCGAACTTGACTGTGTGCTGTTATCGACATTGGACTGAGTATAATTACTACCTCTCGGTCACCCACTCGTAAGAGTGCGGCTATAATTTAAGAATGCATTAAGGTCACCTTGATACTAGTCTTGATTCTTCATTTCTGCCAAACAAGTAACTGATAGAAATCTGCTTGGCCTTGTTTTCCCGCCTCCTGTTATTTTTCAAGAAAGACATGTTTAACCCATGATGTTTCAAAGTTTTACGCGGATTCGTAGAATACTCTGCGGCAGCCATGTATTCACCTGGCCTTAAAAAGACACAAAAACAACAATTTTAACAATTTTTACTTTTTTAAAGTGTATATTTGATTCTAAAAGAATGAGTCAATTCCATATAGCCGCAAATACATGAAACAATTATTTTTATAGAACAAGATTCTATATAGCAATTCGTCCTTTTATATAAAACTCTCGTAAGTGATTAGAAACAATTAACAGGAAGCACTTAGAAATTCTCAACATAATAATTCACAGAATCTCGAACACACATACTTATTCCTTCCTAACCATTAACCTGGAAGTTGTATGTACCGCTTGGAGTTCGGCGGCTGGTGGGACAGCTTCCTCTAAAAAACGATACATACTCTTCACAAGACATCAGCGCAAGAAATGAAAGGTATCAGAGCTGCCAAGTAGTAACAAATCCTAATCCAGGGTGTGAAAATTCCTTATCAAAGTTTCCTCAAGGCACCGTGGAACGGTTAATTTCGCTTGATATCAAATGAATGGTATTATTTTTCCAACCCCTTCACACTGAGGAATAGGAGCGTCAACTGAGCGTTGCTTACCAAAAATTCAACACGGTTATGAGAGAGCTTGAAAGTCCACCCAATGTGCGCGGAGTAATGTCCTTAGGTTTGCAAGGTCTACGGATTCAAATAAATTGGTTACGAGAGATCCTAGACGTTGGGGAAGTGGTTGTAGGCTAGGCAACAAGAGGAGGTCAAATAATATTGAAGGGTCCACTAGCACCCTTCTTAGTAGGAAAAAATCCTGAAAGCTCGAAAAATGGTTCACAAAATGCCCGGAATATGGTGCAGCTTTTTCATAGTAGGCAAAGTGTGCTTCAGGATGGGCGGAACCGACGGAATCTCCGGCTGCCCTGTACAGTATTGCTGGAACCCATGAGCACGCGCTACATAGTGTGCGAAGTCAAACTGGTAATGTTATTGAGTAAACGTAAGAGGTAGAAAATGTAAGCACCCGTGTTTTGGCTTCTTTAATCCCAACATTGCTGGTGTTGTCATCACCTGGTCGCATGGGAAGGTGATAGGTGAAGGGAGTGCTTTCTCGGCATTCGCGAACATATCGGAAATGTGATTGTGATTCCTATGTCCAGTTGAAGTGAAGCGATTCATTGGCTATAAGGTACCATTAACAGTTTAGAGAACAGCTCATCACACCACACTAAGGCTGAACATACGCTACTGTTGAGTATCGGTGTACTCGTAGCAACATTGAGGAACGAGAGACCGCTATCTCCAGTCTCCATTTCAGCATCGATGCCGGAATCTCAAACAGATATTTTTGCCGTTGCCTAATGCTAGATTGAGGGCGCAACTACTAACCTGAGCGAGCTATCGGTGGGAGATTTCCCATACCTTTTTGTAGCTCTTTAATTCGCTCTTCTTGTTCAGCAAGCCTGAATTTGGGCAGAAATTGAGAGAAATACGTGGACGAGTAGTTCTTCAGATCATGAACATGTGAACAAAATATCTGGTGAAATCAAAGGTAAAATTCAAGAAAACTGACTTAGCTTCAAGTTCGCGGCAACGCATTCGTTCCATGTCTAATTCACATTTTACGCGCATATGTTCTTTGGCAGCCTTGCTGTAATATCATTTCTTGAAACATACCGGTAAATTTAGGGAATTATGACAAATATGGTTAGAAAATGTTTGGTAATTGAAGAAAAAGCACTTCTCCAGATCTATGCGTCTCTTGATCTCTTCCTGAGCCGAATGCGCAAATTTGACGGCCTTTTTTTCCTAAGAAGAGTAATCAATTAAAGTGCATACATGAGAATCTATTTGGAGAATGTCGCTTAAAGTTCCAACAAACCCTCTCATTGATTATTTTTGATAGTCGGGCCCTGTTGCTCGACTGGAAATCTAGAACTTGAGAGAGATTCTTCATGTACTGCGTTGCGAGGTCCTTTGGGTTTCGAAATAACATCTAAAATAGGACGTCTTGAAAAACAAAATATTTTCGAGGGTGCAGCCACCCAATAACGGCTTCTAGACACAAAGTACAGGTGAGGTTTAGTGGCCTGAGGCAGCAGGTTAATAAGCGCACAATACTCTCTATTCGTACATTGGGGGGGGGCACAAATTACAAAAATTAAAATCTCGAACCTGAAAGTTAATCATTAGCACGAATCCTGTCAGTGAACAGCAATTCAGAAGAGCAATGTCCAATAGGGAACAATCCTACTTACTATAAAGCGCTTCGTCTGTCGTCTGTGTGTCTGTCACGAAATTCCCTAGCTCCTCGGGATCCGCCTGGAGGGACCGGGTCAAGTGTGGAATGGGTGGGCAAGGTCTCACGAAATACAAAACACACATCAGCTAAGCGGAGCCCCGCCCACAGAGGGCGTGGCGTGCGTCGAAATGAATTGTACCAAAGACCAAGCATGGTTGCGATATTCAGCGACAACACCCACCTGAACACCTGCGCGCGCAAAAAGTGGGTAAAGGTGTGCGTTGGTTATAAGTCACATCGAATTAGGGAGACCCACCCCCGGTGGGCGGGGCGTTCTCTAAAAAAGCAGTGCTTTATGAAAAATTTCATAACTCGGTTGGGAGAAAGCCTACAGAGCAGAAAACAATTTGGTGTAAGGGAGCAATGTCTAAGGTGTTTCCTGCATACATGACGTGGGCGGAGGCCCGCCCAGAATGGGCGGGGCGCGCTCTGAAGTGTACAGCATTTTCTACAAGCCCTCATAATTCGGGTCGGGGAAGTCTTAAAGAGCCGGAAAAAGGTGGATAGAGGTGTATGGAGGAGTGGAGGCCAGCTGTCATCATGGTGGGCGGGGCTTGACCAAAGTGGGCGGAGTTTGCCGTAATAACTTCGTATAATGTATGGTTGGCCCAAGGATTTCCCAGTAGACCGGTTTGAAAAAGGGGTAGAGATCGGCGAAAGGAAGGGGGCCCAAATGCTATTGGTGGGCGGGGCACGCACCGAAGTAGGCGGAGTTTGCCACGAGATTTATTGTCCGGAAGCAGTCCGGAGACCGGGAAAAAGAGGATAATGGTTGACGAAGAAAAAGAGGTTGAAAGCCGTCGATGATGGAGCGGATAGAATTTAGCTGAGGATTCAGATATTCGTGGTGTATCAAGCCAAATTTGAAAATTTTCGTCGCACCATCAAAATTCGCCGCAGATCTGTGTTGTGCGCGCAATGCGTGCGGCGCCAACTGGTACTTAAATATTGGATTATTTAGACACACCTCAGGTAGGTTTGATGCAAAAGCTTTGAGTCATTAGGGAGCCTATCGTGGTGCACAAGCAGGGTGCCTTTAAAGTTTGTCTTGGACCCTTCCAAGAGCAATTCGTAAAGATCTCTGATTCTTAAGCGGCTTTGCAGGTATCGAATTCAGGAATTTCAGGGATGTACCAGTCGAATTATCATAGTGATGATAAACTTGGCCACTCTACAAGATGGAGGGTCACTGGAGCTGACGAAGGTGCTCGAACCAATTCAAGTGATTGGGGCCTGCGGTGGTCCCACGTCTGCTTTTCCAGGAAGGCCCTTAGTTGTGAAAAGTTGTGACTGATTCCGCTTTCTGTTGTCGTTTACTCCGGAACTCGATGCTTCAACCGTCAAAATATTAAGCTGTTTACGGCAGCACAGAAGGCGAAATATATGTCTGCTATTACATAAAAACGGCAGAGCTCTGTAAACACTAGGTGGAACGACCCGCACATGGAAAAAATGTGCACCAAATATTCGACCTGCGCCACAGTGAAACTGTCAGCCAAGTTGCCCGCCCCGCCCGCACCTAGTCTGTAGATGGCCTCCTTCAGATTAAAGTGCTCACTTGATCAATCAAGATCGCACAGCGTGCAGCAACTTCAACACCATATATAAGTATAAGACGTATCTTCTATTTGTGAACTTATTGTCTCCCGTTTTTGAGACCATGCCCTTTCTCGTGTCTTCCACTCAAATTTTCTTTCCTATTTGTGTTGTTCCTTTTCGCAAATTTTTTTTTCAACTAATTTTTTGTCTGTCCAGGAAGCGATAGGAAAGCACGTCGGTAATCGCGGCTCAATCAGCTTTGCTCTATCCTTCAGCCGGTTTACAGCGACTAGTATCTCCTTCGAACAAACTCGCGTGCTGGGCGATCTCCGGAACGAGCCTATGTCAGAGGCGCATTTTCTTCAGTTGCCCTAATGACTTTTTTGTGCAGTCCTCCGAATGTTGGCTGGTGTCTTAAATCAATGGTGTCAGTATGAAACATGGATAATCAATCGGAAGTTGTTCTTCGAGACACAGTATGCTCAAGTGATGAAGTCGAAAGCGGTTCGACCATCATCACCTATCGTACTTATGAGAGCAGCAACTTGCTATTGATATTCTTCAGTGAGTGACCATGCTGTAACAATCACGTGCAAGTGCGAGTGATAAGGAAAACTGATCGCTCGAAAATTCTGTACAGGATAATGCAAAAAGAAAGTTTTGTGCTGCAATTTTTCAGTTTTAATTTACTGCAGAGACTTATGTAAAACGTTATATGTAGAAACTGTTGACACAACCCGCAGCCTAATTCTGGAAAATTATTTGTTTATTCCGCACTATTCAAGGACCCTTAAAGGCAGAGGACGTCATGGCTGGAGGGTGGGACGGTTATGATGGCGATTGGAAGTCATAGGTGGACCATGTCCCTGAACGTGCTGGGGTTGTTTGAGATCGGGTGTGGTTCGCTAGAACAGAGCGTGACTTTTTTGCTTTTCGCAGTGCTGCGAGACATTTTCCGCTGCTAGAGCCCTTGGTCCACCAATGATCAGGAGTGGATCTGTGGTTCGCGCAGCAAAAAATTTTCGCCAGTGAGAAGCGAAAAAGCGCTCTCTGTGGGCGCACGCATAGTCGGTCGGACGACAGCAACGATCGTAACTGTCGCACAGCATTGGATGCGTATCGATCGTCGGACTTGCCTGAGTATTCGACGATTAGATGCAGTTAGACAGTCAGACAGTTGCGATCGTTGCTGTCGGACGACCGACTATGCGTGCGCCCTGTCCTAGCGACCACACCAGCAGTTGAAACCACCTCCTAATGCCTCTCCACCGACCACGCTCAATGACGTCACCAAAATCGTTCCGCTCTACAGCCATCGTGTTCACTGCCTTGAAGATCAAATGGTGGTGTAACAATTAACATCTACCATTTAATATGTTGGGGAACTTTGCCAAAAATATGAAGAATAAACAGTAAGCAAAAAATAACAACCTGTAATTCAGGCCTGAGATTCCTATTTATTTCTACGAGACTGCATTTCTTATTGCATGATGGACACAGTGATTCTGCACCTTTTCCATCTGCTGCATCTGAAAAATTATAAATCCAATGAGAATCAGAGTTGTAGCGTTAACCCACAACTGATGGAGGAAGCAAAACAGATAAAAAGAAAGGAATTATAATCTTACCAGATACAAATACGTCTTTTAAAAGGCTGTGACGATGGGGTAAGTTGAAATGCGATAGTAGCTGTGTTGCGGGTGACTAGAGACTTAGGGTTATGGTGGACCCTTTTTATGTCACCTTGCGGTGGTTCAGTGGATTTAATGTGATGAGAGAGAAGTAAGAAAGCGTGAGCACGAAGGAGTTTATTGAGCCAAGACGTCGTAAGACGCTTATATCGAGTAATGCCTATGTTCTCAACTTTGTACAAAAGGGTCCGCCCCCGCCAGAGGTAAGGTCGAGAGGGATCATCGCCTACTACCAGCTTATCATCGCCTGCGATGCGCAGGCGATGATAAGCTGGTAGTAAAATGCGACGCGAAATTAACGGAACATTTTTTTCTAGTTCCTTTTTCCATCGAAATTACTTCAGAAATGAAGGAAAAAAGAGATGGAGAAGTAAATGATGCGAATGAAATTCACGTCTGAAAGGTACGGGAAAGTGCTGTCACTTGTGGTGCTAGAATATGGGGTGTGGTTCACTAGGACAGAACGCGAATTTTTCGCATTTCACATTTTCTATAATCCCCAATATTTCCCATAATTCCAATATTTCCACTTTCCGATAAATTCAATTCCTGAACCTGACCTGGCATCCGAGCCTTGGGAATATTCCAGTCACTGAAAGTACAGCACTCAATTGGATTCCCTTCTAGATAAATTTCCCAACCAGTGGCAGAGGTGGCGTTGGGAAAGTATTTGAGAGGACGCTGTATTCCAGAGATCAATTTTCCATTCGGTAATTGTTTCTTCTAGCCCTGATACACATGTATAATTCCAATAGCGCATCCACCGAAAATCATTTACAAGGACAGTAAATGAGAGACTCAAAATAAAAACAAGAAGGAAATAAAATGAATATTAATGATACGTAGAAAATAAAAGTTTGCAATGATGCAGCAAAAAAAACTCACTAGTGGAAGTGCTGCATTTTTGGCAAACAATATGACCACAGCTAGAAATGAAATAGACAACACCTTGAGCAGGTTGCCTGCCACATGCATTACAGTGAATCCAGTCACTACCCATGGTATCTGAAAGATTCCCATTTCTAATCTGGTATATAGAAGCCACTTTTCACAAGTGCATTCGTAAAAACATCGAGATTTCACGGTGCTATACAAGTAGGGTGGGCACGCCGCATTTTTTGAACAGAAATGTATGTAAGTGGGACTGCTGCCCGCTACTATACTGTCACGAGAATCGGGGAATTCGTGAGCCAGGGGGAGTGTAGCCAATCTAGGGGGTGGGGGGTGAGGGCAGTCACTTGACATGCGTGAAAAGCTGGGCGTGCCCACCCCACTTGTATAGAGCCGATTTTACATTTGTTATCTTTCGAAGCAGTTTGTGGACATGGTGTTGAATGTGATGCTATCGCCAGGCCAAGGGAGAGGAGGTGTGGTTCACTAGGACAGAAAGCGACTTTTCGCGTTTCGCAGCGCGAAACATTTTCGCTGCAGGAACCTAGGTCCACTCATGATCAGCGGTGGACCTGAGGTTCCCGCAGCGAAAAATGTTTCGCGCTGCGAAAGCGAAAAAAGTCGCTTTCTGTCCTAGTGAACCACACCCGGGAGAGGGTGCGTCGCTAGAAGAGAACGCGACTGTTCTGCTCTCCGCGCACGAATCTTTTTTAACTGTGGGAACCTTGGGTCCATTAGTGATCAACGGTGGACCTCACCTAGCGAATAAAACTTTTTGCGCTGCAAAAAATAGGAAAAGCTGCATCTGTCCCCACCACTCCCTAGAGGAAGGTAGGGAAATAACAATTGCTGACGCACCCTGAAGTCTCTTCCTCCTTCGCCTACGGCTTAGAGTTGACTTTACCACAAGGGGATGTAATAAGCGGTTTCAAATGCATTGCCACCACAATGACTCCCGTATCTTGAAAGAGTGCCCATATAATTTTTACTAATAGCCTATGTCCACGAATCACGCCGCTCACAACACAGCGTTGGGTAACTTACGGCTGCGCAATGTGGCTCGAGGGGAGCCAGTCGCCGCGCGCGATCTCTGCGTTTTTCTGTGTAAGCATTTCCTCTTCGCTAAATCGGGACTAAGCCTCGGGCAGGGGAGGAGGAACTCCAGGATCATAGCAATTTTCATCTTCCCAAAGTTCCTGCCCACTCCTAGGCTTAGTACTACAGGGCGCGGACGAGCAGAGATCGCGCGCGGCGACTGGCCCCCCTCGAGCCACATTGCGCCCTCACGGCTAAATATACGACGAAAAAAACGCTGGATGAGTTTTCGCGGCGTTTAACTGAATTTCAGGAGGTGTGCGTCATATGGCGCGATCCCATTGGCATTGGAGCGCACAGGGCGTAATTACCACATCCTGCTGTGGACGGACAACTCGTCCACGCAGCAAATTCTGTTCCGTTCCACTTATGATACCTCGGACGCGGTAACCTCGGGTCCATTGATGATCAGCGGTGAACCTGAGGTTTCCGCAGCGAAAAATATTTCGCGCTGCAAAGACCGCTGTCCTAGTGAACCGCGCCCATTATACACTCACAAAGCCGGGGTAGGCGTGTTACCGGAAGTGACGTGCACTTGATAGAAGGCGTGGATAAGCTGTTGCCAGCATGCTTTGCTGATATCCAGCGATGTATGTTGGAAGCAGCTTATCCACATAGCTTCTATCAAGTGCACGTCACTTCCGGTGACACGCCTACCCCAACTCACCGATATCGAGTATAGGCACTATTCAACTATTACACCCCCCGAAATCTCAAAATTTTAATTTTTGTCGAAACTTCGCCCGCATAGGGTATTCTATGCCCTGATTACGAAAATGACCTTCATTTTTGGCGTTGGCGCCATCTGGCGCCAATTGGCGCCACATTGGCTCCAGGGTCATTTTAAAGGAATTCTGCGCGGAAAAATCATGA